ATGAGAACATCCACGGCTCCTCATCTCACTTATTTAGGGAAGGAGCAATTAAACTGTCAGTGGGGAACTGAAGTGTCTGTTGAGTAAGAGCACTGACCCATTTGCATTATTTGTCTCTCTTTTTTTTCCCCCTTTTTCCAATTAAGGTGTAAGTTACATAGCTATATCCACACTTTGCAATGCAATGTTCTAAGAGTTTGTAAGTACAAATGTAATTGGCCATATAACCACATCACATCATGATATAGAACAGTTTAGTAACCCCCCAAATTTTCCACCACCTTTTGTAATTGGCCCCTCCTTCCACCTCCTCGCAACTGCTAATTTGTTTTCAGTCCCTGTGGTTTTGGCTTTGTAAGAATGTCACAAAAAAAGAATCATACAGTAAGTCATCTCTTGAGTCATGCTTCTCTCCCTTAACATAATGCATTTGAAATTTACGGAGTTGTGTAGTTCTTTTGTAATTGGTTCCTTTTTATCTCTGAGATGCACTATATGAATTCAGATTATTTATCCATTTTTCAGTTGAGGGAAATGGGTTATTTCCAGTTTTTAACTAATACAAATAAGAATCCTATGAACATTCACACCCAGAATTTTGTGTGAACATGTGTTTTTATTTCACTTGGGTAGATTGTTAGGAATGAGATTTCTAGGTTATGTGAAACTGCCAACCTATTTTCTAAAATAGCATATTATTTTTGCATTCCCACCAGCAATGTAGGGAGAGTTCCAATTGCTTCACATCCTTCATGGTATTTTATATTTACAGGTGGGCTTTTTTTTTACATTAGTTATTCTAATAGGTTTGTAGTATATCTCCTTGTTGTATTAATTTGCATTTGACTAATGATGCTGAGCATCTTTTTATGTGCTTACTTGCCATCCCAGGCATCTTCTTTTGTGAAATGTCTGTGTAAAATCTTTTGCCTGTTTTTGATACATGCACCCCGATGTTTATAGTAGCATAATCTATAATAGCCAAATTATGGAAAGAGCCCAAGAGTCCATCAACTGAACAAAGGAGATGTGATATATATACCTACATACATATATATTCATACATACATATATATATAGACTAATTTCCATATAGACTATTATAATTTCCATATAGACTATTTCCATATAGACTAATGGAATATTCCATTATGGAATCTATATATGGAATCTATAATGGAATATTACTCAGCCATCAAGAAGAATGAAATCTTGCCATTTGCAATGACATGGATGGAGCTACAGAGAATTATGCTAAGCGAAATAAGTAAGTCAAAGACAGACAAACACCATTGGTTTCATTCATATGTGAAATTTAAGGAACAAAACAAGCAAAGGAAAGAAAAAAGAGAAAGAAGCAAACCAAAAAACAGATTCTTAACTATAGAGAACAAACTGATGGTTAACAGAGGGGAGGTAGGTAGGGGATGGGTAAAATAGGTGATGGGTATTAAGGAACTCCCTTGCTGTGATGAGCACCCATGATGTATGGAAGTGTTGAATAACTACATTAGACACCTGAAACTAATATTACATTGTACCTTAACCTATGGAATTTAAATAAAAACTGTAAAAAAATTTTGTCCATTTTTATTGTATTTCATTGTATTTGTTTTTTATTACTGGGATTTGAGACTACTTTATGTATCCAAAATAGGAGCCCTTTACTGATAAGGACTGGTGCAATTTGAAGATCCTTTCTCCAAGTCTATGACTTGTCTTTTTTTTTTTTTTTTGGACTTGTCTTGTTTTCTGGAATAAAAACTTGAACTAATACTCGTTTCAGTAATATTTAATGTAATACATCTATCCTTTGTTCAGTACCATACTACTTGACTATTGTAGCTGTATAGTGAATCTGGAAAGAAGGTAGAGTAAGTGCTCCAATTTTGTTGTTCTGCTTCAAAATTGTTTTAGTTATTCTAGTTTTTTTTTTTTACTTGCCATGTAAATTTTACAATGAGCTTGCCAATTTTTATAAAAATTCTTTCTGGAATTTTGACTGAAATTTTGTTGATTAGTTTGGGGAAGACAGACATCTTTAAATTATCTAGGCCTCCAATCTGTGAACATGGTAAAATTCTCCATTTATCTAGATCTGCTTTGATTTATTTAATCCATTTTTCAGCATATCTTGCACATAGCTTGCAAAATTTTTACTTAAATACTTCATGTTGGTGGTGCCATTGCAAGCGGTACTGTTTTAAATTCTAATTTCTAAATGTTTATTAAAATTACATAGAATTATGACAGATTTTTGTATATTGACTTTGTTTCTTCAGAACTTGATAAACTTGTTAGTTCTGTATCTTCTTGCCAGATTCTCTGGGATTTTCTAAGTAGAAAGTTGTGTCTACTCTGAATTGAGAGAATTTTATGTATTCCATTTCAACTGGTACGTTTTTCATTTATTTTTCTTGCCTTAGGGTACTGATGTCTATCATGATGTTGGATAGACGTATTAAGAAGGGACATCCTTGCCTTATTTCTAATCTTGGAGAAAAGCATTCAGTCTTCCACGAGGAAGTGTGAAGCTAGCTGCAAGTTTTTCATGGATGTCTTTTACTATGTTTAGGAAATTCTCCACCATTAATAGTTTGCTGAATTTTTATCATAAATATGTGATGAATTTTTGTCAAAGGTTTTTCTGCATCTATTGAGGTGATTATATAATTGTAGTCCTGAGTCTATTAATACAAAGAATTACATTGATTTTGAAGGTTGAGCTAACTTTGGGTTTAATAGGAAAAGATTTAAGATATTGTAAATGTGGTCAGAGAACTAAAGGAAACCAGGTTGAAAGAATTAAAAGGGAAAAAAGAATTAAGGAAAGTATGAGAACAATGTGTCACCAAATATGGAATAGTAATAAAGATATGAAATTATTTTTAATAACAGAAATAGAAATTCTTGAGTTGAAAAGAAAAATAAATAAAATATAATGTTTAATAAGTGGATCAGTAGCAGATAGAAGCTGGCAGAAAAAAAAATTCAGTAAGCTTTAAGATAGTCAGTTGAGAACATCCAGCCTGAACAGAAATTTTTTTTAAATCAATAAAAATAAATGGTCTCAAGGAACAGTGGGATACTGTAAGAGCACCAACATACACCTAATGAGAGGGGAGAAAGGGGAAGAAAGGATATTTGAAAAAATAATAGCCCAAAACTCCCCAAATCAGGGGAAAGGAATGGACATTCATATGGATTCAGAATTTTTGACATAGTGAGACTCAAAATTTTACCAGATTTGTACATTAACAAATTTATAGTATTGCATACAAGTAAGTTATTATAACCATTGTAATTCCTGGTGCTTTAACTTTAAACATTGTTATGTTTTTATTTAAGTGAATAAATATGTGCTTTGTCATCTTTTTCTTTTTCCTGTATTGTGTAATATGTTTTCTGTATTAAACTGTCATATAGGGCTCATTAATATGGAAATTTGGCTAGGAAAATAAATACCCATGTAAAGACATGTTGTTGGTTTTTTTGCTATCAAGATTTTATTTCAAGTTAGTTAACATATAGTATAGCATTAGTTTCAGGGATAGAATTAAGTGATTCATCACTTGCATACAATACCCAGTGCTCACCACAGGCGCCCTCCTTCATGCCCATTATCTGTTTACCCTATCCCCCACCCACTTCCCCTCCAGTAACCCTCAGTTTGTTCCCTATGCTTAAGAGTCTCTTTTGGCTTGCATTTTTTTTTAAGATTTTATTTAATTGTCAGAGATAGAAAGAAAGCGTGTGTGGGAGCAGGGGGAGCAGCAGGCAGAGGTGGAGAGAGAAGCAGGCTCCCTGCCGAGCAGCGAGCCCAGTGTGGGACTCGATCCCAGGAGTCTGGGATCATGACCTGAGCTGAAGGCAGCCGCTTAACCAACTGAGCCACCCAGGCGTCCCTTGGCTTGCATTTTTACTGAAAAGAAGAACAGATAAAAATCAATAATAAATCTACATTCAAAGAACTTTGGAAGTATTTTCATAAAGTTTAAATTTTTAAATATAAAGCATTGCTTTTCATATGCAGAAAGATAATGTAAAAATAATTATTAAAAACCAGACATATGGGGTCCCTGGCTGGCTCAGTTGGTTGCTCAGGTCGTGATCCCAGGGTCCTGGAATCAAGCCCCACACCAAGCCCAACATCAGTCTTTCTGTTCACTAGAGAGCCTGCTTCTCCCTCTCCTTCTGCTGCACACCCCCCCACACCATTTGTGCTCCTTTTTCTCTCCCTGTCAAATAAATAAAAATCTAAAAAAAGAAACCTAGACACATATAGGCTTTTTTCCATTAAGTCAACTATTTATGTATGATAAGATTGTGCTCTCAGACACCAAATAATTGTTTTAAATTCTACTGTAACAACAGACCTTCTCATGTATGTCTTAACTAGTTTTTTCTTCTATGGTGTGTGTGTGGATTTCATGAGTTCCTCATGAATTATCTATGTGTGTGCCTGTGCTACATACCTGTGAGTATACATGTTCATGTGGGAGTGCGGATGAACGTGTTTATTAAGAAGAATTGTTAAGATAAGAATATATTTATGGGTGATTCTTCTTAACCTATTATTCTTAGGTAACATATTTTTAAAGATGTAAACTTTGTAAAAAAAAATATGTAAATTGTGTAAACTTAATCAATATCTGGGAATATTACTATAAGAAATTAGAAACATGGGGCGCCTAGGTGGCTAAGTGGGTTAAAGCCTCTGCCTTCGGCTTGGGTCATGATCCCAGGGTCCTGGGATCAAGCCCCGTATCGGGCTTTCTGCTCAGCGGGGAGCCTACTTCCTCCTCCTCTCTCTCTCTCTCTCTCTCTGCCTACCTCTCTGCCTACTTGTGATCTCTGCCCATCAAATAAATAAATAAATAAATAAATCTTTAAAAAAAAAAAAGAAAGAAAGAAATTAGAAACTTGTGGGCAGGTCAGGTAAATATTTTCTCTAGATAGATCTGAGGTGGATGAAAGTGCCTTATTGTAGATCTTTGTAGTTAAAATATGAATCCTATAGAAGATTTCACCTTCTCCACAGCCTTTTTAAAGGCACTCTTGACCTCTTTGTTCCTCAGGCTATAGACCACTGGGTTTAACATGGGGATAACCATGGTATAGAATGTGGATGCCACTTTGTCCGTGTCCATGGAATGGCTGGAGCTGGGCTGTAAGTACATGAAGGTGCCTGTCCCATAGAAGATGAACACTGTAGTGAGGTGGGAGGAACAGGTGGAAAAGGCCTTCTGGCGTCCTTCAGATGAGTGCATCCTCAGAATAGTGATAAATATAAACAGGTAGGAGATCAAGATGACCAAGACAGAAAAGAGGACATTGAAGCCCACCACCAAAAATATAACCATCTCACTGATGTAGTTGTCTGAACATGAGAGAGCCAGGAGAGGAGGAGCATCACAGAAGAAGTGATCAACCACATCAACTCTACAAAAGGAGAGCCTGAAAATATTCCCAGTGTGGATGGAGGCATTCAGGAAGCCGCAGACGTAGCAGCCCATGACCAGACGAGCACACACCCCTGTTGTCATGGTGATGGTAATAGAGGGGTTTGCACACTGCTGCATAGCGGTCATAGGCCATTGAGGCCAAGAGGAAACTTTCTACAGTGATAAAGGCTACAAGAAAAAAGAACTGGGTGACACAAGCATTGTATGAGATGACCTTGTCTCCTATAAGTAATCCAGCCATGACCTTGGGAGTGACAGCTGTAGAGTAACCAAAGTCCACCAGAGACAGGTTACTGAGGAAGAAGTACATGGGAGTGTGGAGATGGGAGTCCAAGAGAATCAGTATCATCATGCCAAGGTTCCCAGCCAGAGTGGTGAGGTAGATGAGGGAGAAAATTAAGAAGAGAGGAATCTGCAGTTTCGGGTCATTGGTTAAGCCCACAAGAATGAACTCAATCACCTCTGTACTGTTTTCCATGAGAGTCAGTTGGGAATTATGTGCCTGCCCTGTAGCAGTGAGAAAATCGGATCAGAATTATAAACGGAGTGGACTCTGCTGAAATCAGTCAGCATGTCCACTCTGTGCCTTATTTTGGTATTGCAAGAACTTGTTTCCAGGACACTCTAGGAACTAAAGCATGATTGTGACAACAAAATGCAATCTTAAATTATTATAGAATATGCCAGAAAAAGGACTTGGAGATAATGCATCCCAATCTCTTAATTTCATAGAAGACCAAATTAAGGCAAAAGAAAGAAAAGAAAGGACTTATGTAATGTCACCAAGTTGTTGCTAACTGGAACAGCTCAGACCCCCAAGTCAAAACTTGCAACAAACCATAAATTACTCTTTGTATCAAACTAGAATAGCTTAGTAAAATTAATGTGAAAATGAGTTAATTTTGCTTCAACTGACCTTTTTTATCTTTGTCTTAGCCATTGTGTCAAGAATAATGTATATGTTAGTAAAAGATAGTTAAATAAAGCATGTCTGTAGCCTAAGATGATATCGTTGAGCAAACACATGAAATAAGTAAGGGAGCAAGCCTGTATTTGGGAAAAGAGAATTTCAGGTAGAGGCAACAACAAATACATGATCCTGGGGTTTGAACATGCTGAGATTATTCTAGGAACAACAACAAAACCAATAAAGCTACAGTGGGAAAGAAAGTTTTTGTGAGAGACATAGAGCAGGGGGAGCCATACACTACATTAAATTATGAAGCTTTTATTTTGAGTGATATTGGAAAACATTACAGGATCTGGACCAGAAGAGGACATAATCTGACTTCTTTTTTTAAAAAAGGTCACTCTTGTAGATCTGTTGGTAATTGAATTTAACAGAATAAGGATAGAAGGCGCTGGAAAAATTAGGCCATTGTAATATTCTAAGTAAAGGATGGTGACTGCCTGAACCAAGATGGTTGTGAGAGAGGTAATGAGAAATCCATACACTTTGGGACGTATTTCCAAAGTAGAGCTGACCGAATTTCCTGATATATTGAAAAAGGGACATGAGAGGAAGAGAGGGGTACACATAGACTCCAAGTTTTGTATAGTGATACAAAAAAAATAGTATAAAAGAAGCAGGTGTTTGGGGAAAGGGGGAAAGAGATCATTTAATTGAGTCTGAGATACCTTTTGCCCATCCAAGTAGAACGTTGCATAAATTATTGGGTATGCAATCCAGAGTTTAGAGGAGAGGTCTGTGTCTCAAATTATATTAATTTGAACTAGGCTGCCAATTTTTAATGCATATATTAAATGCACACCATCAAAGAAAAGAGTACAGACAGACAGACAAAAATCAGAGTATTCTAATGTTCACAAGGTTGAAAGGATCACGAGATTCAGTGGTAGGGGGGATGCAGGAGAGAAAACCACTGCCCCAGGACAGGATATTTGCTCAGACCAAGTAGGCAAAGAGACTTTCAGAGGAGAGATTAAGTATGTATCAAGTCATACTGATGAATGACTACAAATCCCAGAAGGCACAGAGAATAATTTCAGGAGTTGGGCAGGAGTGGGAGCCAAGGTCAATGAAGGGATTTGTAGAGATGTACAGACTTTATTTTTTTTTAACATCTTAATTTTTTTTCAGTATTCCAAGATTCATTATTTATGCACCACACCCAGTGCTCCATGCAATACATTATTTTGTAAGAGTTGAGGGCTTAGGTGACCATCCTCAGCTTTGTGATGAGTGACATAGCGCTAAATTTAATAATGAGATTAGTCCTATGGGTCTCAAGGTAGGGTAGGATTTGGAAAGGCAATTTAGGCAGTTAAGAGCCATGACAGGCAGAGTTCCCTGCTGTTATTAGTGGTAGGAGGGCCACTTTTACAGAGCAGGGTAACAAGGAAACCCTCTTGGTTCCTTAAAAAACTGCTCACTTGAATTGATAACATAGATACAGAGTTCCCAAATCCTGGAAAAGCAACAACAGTGTGCTAGGAATCACTTCAAAACTTTTTACCAACTTTGTTTTCCACAAATGAAATCATGAGTTTTAATCAACATCTTCCTGGAGGAAAAAGAAATTTAAAACTCGTTTTAATCCATTGAGAGAAATTAAGAACTACATGGTTCTTGGAGGCCTTTGTTGACCTGTTATCATTCTTTGCACCACAGATGGAAACTTCTGATGGAATGGACCACTATATTGTTGGTGCTCAGTACAAACTAAAAAATGTAATCTTCCTGACAAAATGTCCTCTGCCCCTGAAACAAAATCTCATGTCTTCAAAGAATAACACAAGTTCCAAAGCTTCCCTGAAGTCTTCCCCAGCTCCTACCTCTTCAGACACAACTCTGTCATTATAATCAATCAAATGCATCACTTCATTACTCTAAAAAAATCTTATCATAATTTATCATTTTGTGTAAGTGGAACTAGTGATTAATAATGACTTCAGCTCTTATAGATATGATTTATTGAGCATTTGCCCTGTTCCCATCATCAAGTTAGAGGCTGTGATATTTTATCTCACTTAATCCTCATGCATCATGGAAGGTGTTATCCCCACTTCACAGGTATGGAAGCTGAAATTTTCTGACATTTAGTTACTTGCTTGTGGCTGAAGAAAGTAGCAGAGCTGGGACTTGAAGCCAAGTCATTCTGAATTGAAGTCTTAGCTCCTTAACATGATTAAATATTCTTTTGATTTTTTACCATTTAAACTAAACTGGGCACAGGGGTGCCTGGTGGCTCAGTGGGTTAAAGCCTCTGCTTTCAGCTCAGGTCATGGTCCCAGGGTCCTGGGATCGAGTGCCACATTGGGCTCCTTGCTCGGCAGGGAGCCTGCTTCCCCCTCTCTCTCTGCCTGCCTTTCTGCCTACTTGTGATCTCTGTCTGTCAAATAAATAAATAAATAAAATATTTTTTAAAAATTAATAAATAAACTAAACTGGGCACAAAGTAACACACTTGGTTGATTGGCTGATGACTGGGTGATTAAATCTATCATCGGAAGTCAATGGGGGAGAATTAAAAAGCACAGACTTGGAAATCATATCTACTTACCAGTTTGTGTGAACTTTGTGCAAATAACCTACCTTTCTGGATCTTAGCTGAATAACCAGAAATAGATCTACAAAAGTTTGCAACATACTTCAACCCTCCAAAATTCCTCACGTGGTTAAAAAAGGAACCCAACTCCTTAGTAACACCAACCAATAAGCCGCATAAAGTGTTGGATGCTGTTCATTCCTTCATTCTCTGTAGAAGCACAACTAAGTCTGTATGGTGCACCAGGGGGTGTGCCCAGGTCCCAGGCTTACAGTGATGAACAAGAATTATTCCCTGACCTCAGGATACCTAGTGCTCTGAGACACATATCTAAACTGATGACTACTGTGTACTGTTCTCATTCTCCATCCCTAGAGAACACTGTTTTCTCATTTGCTCAGAACCGTGTAATGGTGGATGATCTCATTGACACTATAGTCACAAAGAAGTCCATGTAATAGTTAATGAATTGAGTGCTCAACCCAGATAAGTTTTTAGTGGCAGAATTGGAATTTGAGATTCAATTTATTCATTCCATAATATGTCTTGTGTGACGTTGCATCCATTTTGGTGGATTTTACAGCTGATTATTACCCTGATTTTTCCCTTATTATTATTCTCTATTCATTCTCCTTCTCTTCCTAGATATTATATGAGCTCCCAGAATACAATAACATTTTATATTGATACTCATTTGATCTCTTAACAACTCTGAAATTAATCAAAATAACTAATATTATCATAGTCCCTAAAAGAAAAAACAGATTGAAATACTTAAAATAATTTGCTCAAAGTTGAACAAGCTTATAATTAGCAGAGCTATAAGGTCCTCTTGGGCTTTTCATCTATGTTACATGGTAAATATACATGTTCTAATAAGACCTCTACAGTGTTGAGACATATAATCCTTGATTGTACAATACAGATACAAGAAATATTCAAAATATTCAAGCCCAAGCTCTAAATAACTCAAAGCAGAAATCACTTTTTCCTGATTACCTCTCTCCAGGCAAGTTTAAGTAGACAGTAGATTTTATCTAGTAGATGTCTAGGTTTACCTTATTCCCTGAACGAGGCAACGTGTAAGTCTGGCACCTTCATATGTGTGTGGACTCAAATCAGAAACTCACGCTGTGAAAGAAAGGGAGCACCTTATTTCAGTGTCCTTCTTTAATGTTTGGCCAAAATGTTTAAAGTTCTCTAGAGGCAGGAAGAAACTGAAGAAAGTAAAAATGCTATTAGCTTTGGAATCAGCTAATAAGAATTCTAGTTCTGGATCTACTGCACATGCTTCTTAGATACGTCATGTAACCTCTTTGAGCTTTGATATCTTCATTTATAAAATGGGAATAATAAGAAGTTAGCTCCAATGCCGTCTTCCCAGATGACTTCTGCTGTGATAAGAAAATAAGAAAATATCTGAAATGCCTTATACTTGTAAGGGGTGATCATCATAATCACAGCCAACATCATTATTATTTGGGATTATTTTCCCTGGACCTTGTTGCATGCTCTTAGTAAGATCAGTCTGGGGGGAGGTCATTGTTGCTACTAGACAACTATTAACAAATCACATGAATAAGTGAATGGCCAAAGTGAGTCTGGTTCTTGGGCTGCTCCCTCTAAAATGAAGCCAAATGGAGTCATGTGGGACCTTGAAAGGTTAAGTAGTAAGAACCAGGAAGGAGTTGTATAATCATGGAAGTCCCAGGGAACAAATATCCTATGAGGGCTACAAAACTCTCTATCTCACCTAACCAGGGAAGAAGTGATTAAAGTGTCTATGGGGAGCCACTCTGCTTATTGAGGGAGGTCATCAGTATATTCATATTATTTGTAGTAATTCTCTTTGATAATGTGGAAATCAAGCCATACCATGGACTTCAGGGCTGCATTTGCATAAATATTGAAGGATGGGGATAATGGGCTTTGCCATTAGCCAAGAAAAGCAGACCCCAGGAATTTACTCACC